GATGCATACGAAGGGAGAAACGATTACTATGCATTCACTGGCTTAGAAATTTGATTTATAAGAGATTACTAGTTAGCCTTGATAATTCCAGGCATACATAACTAGTTATCAGTAAATAGCCAAAATTAGGGGCAAAGACTATTTTATATCCCTTTCCATGAACTGTTTTTTCAATATTATTTGTTAATATAAATAAATAAATAATAAATATATATAATAATGATTTTTAAAAATAAAAAAAAACATTCAAAAAATAAAATTTTTAATGCTTCCTTCGGGTAGGGTATGACTAAATACTGCATTGCTAAACTGCGATGTTAAAAAGCAATTAATCATAATCATTCAAAATTTTAATATTTAATCTTTTTTTAAAATAATTTTTCAGAAACATTTTTATTAACATACATAAATCATTTTTTTAATCAAATAATTTATAAATCTATTTTTACTTAGTATTAATGAAAAAAAAATATATTACTAGTTAGTTACATACAACTCAAATTTTATTTTTAGATTTTAAAATAACAAATATATATCCATAAGAGAGAGTTAAATGCATTGAAAATATCATCTTAGGAAACCAGAATGATTATTGGCTAGCCCTTTTTTCTATTTGGGTGTAAATACATGTGGAAAACCTAGAAATTTAAAAAAAATGATAGGTTTCTTTGATATTTAATTTATTAGTGAATTTCGAATAGTGAAATAATAAAAAATTTGTAAGGCACATATTGCTGGAGTTATTGATCAAACTCTTCATTTTTGTATTCGTGTACATTTACGTGTTAAGCATTATTCCAAAAATTATTTAAAAAATATTGTGATTTGACAGATTGCCGTGCTCAAAATCGATTGACCAAATTTGTTAGTAATATCAATTAAAAAATGTTCATTTTTGTTTTATATACCTACAAATTATATAAAACATTATCCCAAAAAATATTTTAAAAATATCGTGATTTGACCGATAACCGATTTGAAACCGACTCAATGACTAAATACTGCATTGATGGCGTTATCCATGGGAAATTCTTTTTTGGTTTATACGTGTACATTTACGTGTTAAGCATTATCCTAAAAAATATTTTGAAAATATTATGATTTGACCGATTGCCGAGCTCAAAACAGATCACTAACTAAATATTCGATTGACCAAATTTTAGTAATATTAATTGAAAAATGTGTTCATTTTTGTTTTATAAATATATAAATACGTGTAAAACATTATTACAAAAAATATTTTAAAAATATGGTGATCTGATAACCGTTAACCGACCCAATGACTAAATACTGCATTGATGGCATTATAAATGGGAAATTCTTAATTTTTGGTTTATACGTGTACATTTACGTCAACATTATCTTAAAACATATTTTGAAACTTCTATTCAGGTTGTAACCAGCCCGTTGACATGAATGGAAGACATAGTTTACATTGTGACTCCTATAATGGTCGATTCATCATACATACCCAATATAATTCAATCACCCAACGTGCCTTGAAATCAGCTAAATTACCATCCATACTGGAATCCCAGGGTATTTTTAGATTAGGCGGTAGAGTCCTGACAGAATCACACAAATTCCATGGAGGAAAGGCAAATTATTGGTATGGGACTATTCATATATAGACCCCATGGCCCCATCTAACCAAGCCCTCAACATCATTGACCAGAAGGAACAGCTTAAAATTTTCAAATACACAGGAATTTCAAATGACCATTGTTTCATTCCTATCATTTCTACCATACTTGCCACCTTCGGCAAACTTGTCCTAGCATTCTTAAATAAATTTAGGATCACAAATCAGCAAACTCTCAGAAGAACCTCGAGAGAGGTTTTTTTTTAAACAAAGGTTGGACATGCTATCCTTAAAGCGAATTTCAGCAGTTTCAATGGTAGTCTACTAGCCAAAGAGCTATCCTAGACCCTTTCTACTTCTTATTTCTTTTCCTTCCCCGATCTTTATTGTTATTTTTTAAAATTTTTATTTAATTATTTGTTTAGAAAAAATATTTAATCTTTTTTATATAATTATTTTTAATATAAAACTACTTGTGAAATTTGTACTTTGTAGTTATATTGGGAGAGAAATTTCAATTCATCAAATATATTAACCAAAGCCCTTATTACTTCCAAAAACGTTTTCTAATCTTAAACAACTTTTTATTTATTAAATAAAATTACAATTCTCTAGTTATTAAAATACTATATCTTCTATTTGTGATTGGTCCAACCTGAATTTATTTATTAATCTTATAATTATTCATCAAAAAAATTTGTGAAAAAATAAAGCATATCTGTTTAATTAAATTTAACATTATATCACTTTAAAGACCTATCATTATGCTATATAATGAAATTTAAATAAAGCGTCTAGCACAATTATATCTAAAGAAATTTAAAAATTATAGGGAGAGCAGAAAATAGTGAAAAAACATAAATATTATAGAAAACAGCTGATAAAGTTGTAAAGGATAGTCAAACATTCATTTTTCCTATGCTATTTGTGGATGAGGCTAATTTTTCAGTCAAGTCCCAATGAAAAATCACCATCAAGGTATTATTGAGGCTCCACAAGAATTAATTAAACTTTTATTACTGCTGATCTTTGGACAGGGTGTATGATATGGTAATAAAACGTTTTTAGATTAGCATATTAAATTTTTTGCAAAAGTGATAATTCTAAATTAAGATGCTGATTCCACTCTCTTCCATTTTATTCATTCTGCTAAATATTATAGTAACTTTATCATTTTGAGCCCTATTTTTTTATTCTAAGTTATTGACATTTCCATATAATAACCTTGTATTTTATGCCTTTTATTCTCACCCAAAATATATATATTTGTAATTAAAATGTACATTGTATATTTTAAAAAAATGGGATAAGATTTGGTTTTATGAAATAATAGGCCGGATATTAATATCGATGCAGCACTAACAATAGTTAATTTCATAATTTTATTATAAAACTTTAAATCCTCGCCAATTTAAGAAAAGCATAACTATTCATTATTTAAAGTTCAAGCTTTAACTTCATAAGTATCCGAATTTGAAAAAGCAATTTAATCTTAAATTTTTAAAATGTTATTCTGATCATTTTTTTTAAGATATAAGATAAAAGTAAATGCTATAAATTTCTAATTTTAAACTGATATAAATAAATTTTAAAAAGAAATTATCATTCAAATAATTGATTATTTAGACACAGCCAAACAGTCAACAATAAAATATACCAAACGGCTCATTAAATATTTATACATCAAAATAGTGAGTAATAATATAAATGTTCAAACTTCTATATTCAATTCATTAAAAAGGCTCAGATTTCTAATAACCCTATCGCAACTTTTTCTCGAATAACTTATCTAATATCATCATTGTGTGAAAACATACACATATTATTTCTTTCTTTACAATCGAAACGCAAAATTTTCATCTTTCAATCGATTTAGTATTATTTTAGTAAACGGTTAATAAAAAATAAAACAATATAAAATCGTCAGGTTTCAATTAGGTTAGAAGATATTGCATTGGGCAAAAAAATTACTCTATTTTTTTTTCTTCTTTAAAACTTTTATTATAGGCAAAGTGCCTAATTAATCGATACGTTTAATATCTTATAAATTGTTTGAAGTAGGTATTTTATAGATTGTTGGAATATATTTTCTGCAAAATAAAATTTTCCAAATGTAAAAAAAAACACCGCGCTAAATAAATGATTAGGCGGTGTCAAATCCTCGGATTTTTTCCTAAACAGCCGTTATTTAGCAGGCAATTTAGTTTCCTTCTAAAAAACCTAATAGGAAAGAGGCTATTTAGATTATAAGAATGCCACTCATTTAATTTTCTAAATAAAGGCTCTGTATATCAATTAAAACCTATGTATGTCTTAAAAAAATAATAAGTGCTTCCGGTTACCCTGCATTCAGAGTTAACGAGAATTCGCGGCGAAGTATATAAAATATCCTATATATATATAAGTTCGCAGCGAATTAGCGCTAAATGTGAATGCAGGGTTAGACAATGGAATTAGGTCATCATTATAAAAAATTAAATATACCTATTAAAAAAAGCAAAAGATGAAATAGATATTTAACAATTTTATTTTAATAAATAAATAAAAATTTTAAAGTTTGATTTAAAATCAAAGTGGTTTTTATCTACATAATCCTGATTCCATAGAACTTGTAACTAACAAAGAAACTTCAATCATTACAACCTTCTCTTATATCTTTTCTGGCTTGATATTTCATTTGCGTGGATAACCTTGACTCCTTTTAATCTACTTACTTCAAAGAGATGAAAAAAAATCCAACAAGTATAATCAATTTAAACAAAGCATTAATTTAATGCTCATAGACGTGGAGCAAGTAGCTATAACAAGATCTCTACAAATCAATATGCTCATAACAAAATCAATCAATTGCACAATTTATGGGAACAAATTATATGCACGGCTTTTAAATTGAAATGCAGTTTTTTTAATGTTAGTTCTTAGTTATTTTCAGTTTTTAAATAAAAGCTAAGTTTAATAAATTTTTTCACTTTTTTAATTAAATACCAAGTTAGCAGTTAGCTCAGGGCTATGCAACAAAAATAAAGGTTAATTTTTATATTTATGTGAGTAAAAATATTAATTTTCACCAAATCCACTATACTCAATGGAGGTTGAATGGGAGGGAGGGGGGGGGGTAAAAAGAATATAAAATTTAACAACTGTAAAAACATGAATTATAAACTGAACAAATAGGTTTGTGCAATTAAATGATATCTTTAATATAATAGCATATATTCCTTATAATTCTTTAGAAAAATTACAAAAAAAACTGAATTGAAACCAAATTAAGAGATTTAAGTTAAAAGTTATTTAAATAATTATAAAACGTAGATCATCATAAAATATCTTTTATTTATAGAATAGATAAATTATTATAAAGTAAAAATTTTTATATTATAAATGATATAGTTTTTCATTGCTATCAGATCCCCTTTAGATGGAAGGACCATTTTATATAGTCATTTCATTCCAATTTTCAACGATAATATAAATAAAAATTTTTAAAAAAAGGATATGATTAACAGCAGAAACCATCTAAAAAAATGATTGTGTTTTGTCTTGTCATAAACATTAGCGTTCATCTAATTTTAAATTTTTTTGCATCACCAAGAGAGAGTAGAGTCATATTTTCATGGGGAAAGATACGGTTCCATATCCATAGTGAGCTCTTTAAAATGTTTCTTAATCCTTTTTTCATAAAAATAAATTATATAAACTTTAATAAATAGCCAATCAATTTTCATTTATAAATGATCATTAAAAAGTAATTATAATCTCAATAGAGTCTGTTGTAATATGTAAATTTACTTTGAAATTAAATTGAGAAAAAAGAAGTAATATGCAAATCGACTGTTAAGAAAAACGAAACGAATTATTATATTATTTGAGTAAAGACGATGTAAATGAATAGGATAGAAAAGTATATATAATCGAGGATATTTTACTTGTAAATTATAATTATTATTTTGCGAACTTAATTTTTAATTTTAATTTTTCTTATATTATTTAATTTTTTTTATTTTAATTATGATTATGTAATTACAAATTATATTAATTAATAAAGTATTAGTAGTTAATTTATTTATACTAATTATTTGTATTCTCTTTAATTCTTAACTACAACATTTGCTACCGAAACATTATGTTCTATGGGCATATTCAGTCTAATAAACTTTTCTTTATTTGACAAACATGTGAGAAAGAAAGCGATGAACGTAGGACTGGATGATTTTGAAGAGTTACTATTGGGAACGGATGATACTTATAATTAGAGTTGTAAATTTCCCAGGAAATTGGTTCAGGGGAAATTTCCTCGGGAAAATTGGGGAAAAAAGAGGAAATGAAAATTAAAAAATAACCACAAAATACACTTTAAACATTTCAATTTAATTATTTGGATAACTTTATTAAATTTGGGAAACTAAGGGAGAATAAAATAATTAAACAATAAAGGCAAAAATACACTGTAAACATTTCATTTTTTTTTGAATAACTTTATTAATCACAAGAAGCATGTATTATAAATTACATTTAAAATTCATAGGATGCTAATAAAATATCATCATTATCTCTTGATATTAATAAATCGGAATATGAACTCTTTTGATGATAACCCGAACATGATGTATTTGTGTGATCCTTTAAATGTATGTTATGCCTGACTGATATTAATTTTTAGACTCTTTCATTCTTTTTCTATTTCTCGTTTGCTAACCATACTCTTTCTGACGAGGCACTTGAGGGTGATATCAAAAGACATCTTACTGCCACTTGACAAAGGGGTTGATTTCTACATAACCCATTCCATCATATGAGTGGTTTGGTATGGATTGAGCTCTTCCATATTCCAGCTCCTTTAAAAAACCGTGTTTTGAACGATATTCTCCTTAATTTTTCCAAAATCGCAATTAATATGGCCTGAAACAATATTTATTAAACTTAAAGCTACAGTTAATTCACGATCTGTTAATTTCACACCATAATATCTAGGATCAAGAAGATTTGTTGCATAATGAAATTCGCTTCGTTTATTAATATGCATCTTAACACTTTTCAAATCATTTTCATTAAAAATAAAAGTTGATAAATTGAGTTTATCTTTTATATCCCAAAATATTTCTAGTACTTCAGATAATGCTGCTGTATCCGATTCACTATTATAATTTAGTTATAATCCAAAAACGTCAGTACACTTTGTTGTCTCTAAATGAACTTGAAATTGCAATTTATAGCAAAACTTCCTTATTTTTCACAATACTTTGCTACATTATAACAAAATCTCCCCGTCATGTGCGGCACATCCAAAGCATTCAATATAATTACATTTTGCCTTAAAAAGACTCCAGATCTTTTCATATTCTTTGCATTATCAGTTACTAGTGAGATAAATTTTTTACTATCAATTTCTTCAATTACCATGATCAGCTCAGATGTGATATAATCACCAGTGTGAGCACTAGATCCTGTGTCAATGGATTTAAAGAAATAGGTTCTTAAGTCATAATTATGAAATTAATGATGGACTCTCCACGATGTTTATCCAGCCATCACTGATGAGAGTAAAATCTTTTAAAGTATTGTTGTTGATAAAGGCTGGGCGCATTAATTTTATAAAATATTTATTTTCAACTAAATTAAAAGGGCAATTTGATATAGAAATAGCTATTGCCAAAGCATGCCATGTTGGGTTTGATTTTGTTCAGCTACAATGTCAAAAAATTTTTTAATTTTAGATGTGTCTGTTACATTATTAAAATTATTGGTAGTTTCTTTAAAAATATTTAGAATTGTTTTATTTATATTTTTTGGGATTTTACCTTTGTTTTTGTACTTTTAAAATTATAGATTTGAATAGTTGCACTCAATAGTTGCACTCAATAGTTGCACTTAGAGATGTAAAGGTAGGAAAATTTCCCGAATTTTCCCGGCTAAAATAATAGACTCGATTACCGTTTACGCGTGACCGAGTCAGATGTAATATACAATATTAGTATTTTTTTAATAATAACTATTTACTAATTAAAAAATGAAATAATACCTAACAAGTGGTCACCCTTTAAAAAATTTATGTTTCAGAGTAGAGAGCGGCATTTATCGCATAATGGCCGTACCAGCTGACCCATAAATAGTCCCGTATCGTATGTATCCCCAATATCGATCATATTATCTACGTGCTTATTTTGGATACGAATGTAAGCCACGTTGCAATTAGAACATGCGACACGTGTGTCGTAGCAAGAAGGACAACGCGCGATATGACTACGGGAAGCTGCCAAGATGGCGTCTAAAATGCTGCAATACGAGTCGCGATGCTGAGGAGTAGTTGAGCGGTGGACCAACTCCTCGACGGAGAAGAGGCAGGATAGTTCGACGCGCGTAGAGTCTGATAAAAAAAAATATAAAAATATTTTGTAAATGTGAGTGTTTTTCTGCCATTTGTAAATTTAGGTAAATCAAACCAAAAAATGATCAAAATATAAATAATCTGAAGCATTTAACAATCTTTCATATTCAATCCTATTTAATTTACAATCAAAATAAAGTTTGACGGGTCCCTTTTCTTAAAGATATTCATAATTCAAGTAAGTCTTTTCGTTCTTGATAAATAAAATATTTTTAAAATCCAAAATATAAAAAAAATATATTATTAAATGTAGATAATAAAATAGAATGATGATTAAAAATATGAGAAGAGAAGAGAAGAATAATATATATATAAATGAGTGGCGAAATGGCTAACTCGCCTAATCGACAATCTGGGGATGCCATTGATCCTAAAATCCGTCACCAACGCGAAAGAGCGAATCTCGTCTGTAAAGGTGTTACATGTTATATTTGAATATCGTATATATTCAAAATAAGTAATATATTTGTTATATATTTTAAAAGGAGGTTATTTGTGTATTATATTATTATAACTTTCCGACATGTAATATTATATTATCGAGGTTAATCAAATTGCATATTATTAGAAGTTAAATTGGATAATTATATAAATGTATATATACAAAAGAATTACAAATAAAATTCATTATTGTTTTTAGAACATAATCGATTTAATATTTGGCGACGAGGTAAAAAAGTCGCGCGGTTTTCGGTCTTCGGTCAAGTTAAATGTTATATAGAATTATAATTTTTTTTTCTGTTTATAAAAAAAAAAAAATAATATAATAATAGATTTGTTTAGAAATTATGGATAAAAGATGAAAGGCATAAATGGGCTATTGACGACTATAGACACATAAAATAGACTCAAAATTTTCTATTGACGACTATAGACACCAAAAAAAATATACCTCAAATTGACGTCACTTTAAAAAAATTATTTATAGTTTATGGAGGAATAAATATTAACTGATATAAAAAGAATTACTCTTCCCAAGAAAATATGGGCAGATATATACAAAATTGACTTATAAAGATAAAACAACTGTTCTGGCATCTAGAATTGATTCATTCGCGGGCCTACAGAATCCGTTTTGAGTTATTTAAAACCTATAAAGGAGCTAGCCCGAAGATGCGAATTTGAAGATAATGCAGAACTAAGAATTCGCGATCAATTAATCGCCGGAGAACTATGTTTACGATACCCAGATACTAAAGATGAAGACCAACCGTTAAACTTAAACAAAACTATAGAATTTATGATAAGGATAAAGGGCACGATGCAGCCTATTTAGATTTCCATGGATTATAGAATTTATGATAATGATAAAGGGCACGATGCAGCCTATTTGAATTTCCATGGATTATAGAATTTATAATGATAAAGGGCACTATCAAAATGATTGATGCCGCCCATTTAGATTTCCATGAATTATAGAATTTATATGATAAAGGGCACAATCAAAATGATTGATGCAGCCTATTTAGATTTCCATGGATTATAGAATTTATGATAATGATAAAGGGCACTATCAAAATGATTGATACAGCCTATTTGGATTTCCGTGGATTATAGAATTTGACACAGCCTATTTGGATTTCCAGGGATTATAGAATTTGACTTATCGTTACCAACATATGTAAAAATTAACATGATCAACAATAAATATAAATATAATGGTAACGTGAATATAATAAAGAAAACAGATCCATCAACAAGAGTAACCTGGAGTACTCCAATGGTAGTGGTAGTAAAACTTCAGGTGAACTACGATTATGTGGAGAATAATACTACCAACGTTTGAAGAATTAATCGCAAAAATTGATATAAATCTACATGGATGATAAAATAAGAAGCGAAAATGGAACAATTAGATAAAGATGTCGAAAAACTAGAATCGCCATCACAATCCTGGAAAAGGGAAGAAGAAAAAAAATAATAATAAACGTACAAAACCGTATTAAAACATCCCGACCAACTATGAATAAGGGAAGAACCAGATGAAATCAAATCAATAATAACAATTGAGTCAAAAAGGAAGGCAAATAGGTTATCCAACAAGGGAAATAAAGCCAACAAAAAGATTAATAGATGAACTTGAACTTGGTAAATAAAGAGATTGGTAGACGATCTTAACTTGGTGGGAAAGAAGATGTTATATTTGAATATCGTATATATTCAAAATAAGTAATATATTTGTTATATATTTTAAAAGGGGGTTATTTGTGTATTATATTATTATAACTTTCCGACATGTAATATTATATTATCGAGGTTAATCAAATTGCATATTATTAGAAGTTAAATTGGATAATTATATAAATGTATATATACAAAAGAATTACAAATAAAATTCATTATTGTTTTTAAAACATAATCGATTTAATATTACATAAAAATCATTCTCATTTGCGAGAGGCGCAAATAATAAAATAAACAAGAACAAACATCGAGGGAATAAAATTAAATTAATAAATAAACAATATTCATTACTCTCTGCTCTGTGGGATGCATCTACTTTGGACGGTAATCTTGGCATAGCCATAGTATTATGCGTGACATATCTATTCAATTCCGGGTGCTGCGAAAATCTTCGAGCGGACGGATATGTACAATTGATCAGGTAAGTTAAATAAAATTGATGAAGAGCCAGACGTGCACGGCGTATGAATTTTAAACCTGGTAACAACGGTTCCAACCGATCTGCGCATTGAGATAAGTCGATCAGAGGATCTCTACTAGTAACTTCGAGGAGTCGTTTGTGCAACCTACAAACCTTGGCAAATTAAATTATACATTTTTTTATAACATGAGACAAAGAAAATTTAAGATACAACATTCTCCCAGCTACCTTCAAAAAAGTTAATATCCCATCCACTCTTGAACCAGTGGGTCTTTCATAAAGCCCTACGCCCGGGTGGTATATCTCTTATCCCCTGGACCAACAGTCACTCACTGACCTGGGACACATCTGCATCGGTTTTGCAGCAAAAACTAACCTCACATCTTGTGACATCAAAAGGGCAGAAGTGGTTTAAAAAAAAAATTATAATAGCCTAACGAACACAGTCTTTATATCAATAGTTACCCACATGTTAGGATGTTTGCAATGGAGGCTCTCAATTTTATCAAAGGTATTGGCAATAAAAATGAGACTTTCTCTCAAAATTTACCGCTCCAATTTCTTAAGCCTTCAACTCCTTACTAGAGTGACATGTTCCAAAAAATATATTATATTTTGATCTTAATCATGTTATTTTAGCAGTTAGGATATTTTATTACCAATTTCTTACTTTCTTTCTTTTATAGAATTATAAATAGAGGTGTTAGCTTTTTGGAGCCCATTACAGATCTGATATCATATCTCATTTTGTATTCTGTGACGATACAAATCATTTTAATTTTAGAGCATACATCTAGTGTTCCAAAATCGCTCCATTTGAGTCTAATTTTAAAAAACGATTAAGTCAGTATTTTGTTCAGAAAAATATTACGCAAGCCTGAAGATTTTGCTCGTAGATGGCACAAAGTTTTGGACATCTATTGGCGGAAAATCTAGAGGTTTAGGCAATATTTATCTGGCTAAAATATTAAGTTAGCTGTTTTTAAAAATTGGCTCAAATAGTGCATGCATTACACATTTATTCATCTCATATACCTTTTAATAATGTGATCTATAATTTTATTTCACCAATAAGTCATTTAAATATATTATAATGATCAGTTATAGTTTATATTCGTGAATTTAGGTATATAAAATATTTTTATTGATAAATCACTTATTTATATGATAACCACTAATCTATTTACATAATAAGTAAAAACAAATATATTGTGAAATTTGAAATAAATTTTAAATGATGACGCCATTTTATTGGATTGGATCGGAAAATTTTATAATATCGGTCGATAACCAATATAAAAAAGGCGAAATATGGGTCCGATTTGATCTGATAAAAAATATCGGTGAGCCCTAATTATAAATTTAATAATATATAACGTAAAACCTGCATATTATTATTAATCTAAAACATTGGACTAAATACTAATTTTTTTATTTAAAAAAATTGAGATCACTTTTTAATTTCACAGATGTTAAATAAAATGAATGCCAAAAAAAAAATTAAAGCTAATTTTTCAGATTCCGCTACTAATATCTTGAATATAAAAAAATAATTAAAACTCTGTCCCTATTCCTCAAAAATAGAATAAATAATAATTGACAATTTTAAAACTTTATAAAATTTGAAGTCCCAATTGTGGATAATTCTTGATGGTATAATTGAGCTTTCATTAATGTGGCATTCGGTACAATAATATAAACCGTCAAAATGGCATACCCTGTATTCGACGTCGAAACCTTAAATTTAAAAAAATAATAATAAAGCGCATGCGCAATTTTAAATTGAACCTATAGGAGTGCAACATTCGTAATTGGCGCAAACATTTTCTTGCAGGTCTAGACCCTTCTCATTTTGAACCGTATCATATAGGGATACGAAACTTTTGATAGCCTTTCCCATCGATGGAAGAGTTCTTAAGTCATAATATTTGGCGCTATCATTTTTACCGCCCGCGCTTTCTTTCTTAGTCTTGGATCTGTTTACGCTTGATACGACCATGCTATAAGCTTTAGATATTGAAAGGAAGGAGATGCCAGAAAAATAATTTAATGATATACCCCCTTGTAAAAAGTTTAACTATTTAAAAATTAGATTGCAAATCTTATATTGCTGATAATATTCAGCAGATAGTTTTAATATAGTTTAAGTTAGTTAAAATTATTATTTATATATTTATACTCTAAATTAAAACTTAATTTATAAAAGGAAAGAGGTGAAATAAATTAAACAACTTTTAATTGAGGTTTAGTATATATAAGTCTTAAAAAGTTTGTCCTAAAGATATTAAATCCAAAATCCAGGATTTTTATAAGCTTTGTTTTAAGACTAGGATTAGATAGCCTATTATTATAAATAAAATAAAAAGAGAATACCTAAGTATTATAAAATTTGAAACTTAAAAAATTTGGCGGTCGTGAACAAGGTTATGATAATGAATCAAATATGAGAGGATGCTATAAAGGGGTTCAAGCTCGAAATAAATCGGAGAGTTTTTTATACCTTGTAATTGCCACAGTTTAAATCTGCTGACATGACACTATCATTATAAGTAGCAAAACTAATGACCCCAAACGCTGCACAGAAGTCAGTTCATTGGTTAAAGTATTAAAATAATTTGCATTTATAGAAACTCATGTCATCTGTTTTAATGCATTAAACCAGGTAAAAGTAGGTAAGGTCATGTAAAGTGACAATATTGAATTGGGAAGTTATCTTATAGAAATTACGCAAGATATTTTAGATAGCTTTAAAGAAAACGGCTTTCAGAAGTCCCTTGACTCAGCGAAATAGCTTGCACAGAAATCGGAAATGAGTTAAGAAGAGCAGTGCTTTCCTTCAATAACATTAATTCGTAGACGAAGGTTCAAAAACAATTTTCTTATGAAGGAGATGACACGCATATATGATCCTCAAAAAGAATATGGGATTGAATTTTTAAAGCATTACTAGATCAAGCGAAAAATTCGTTGGAGGAACGTTTCTCTAGTTAAAGCTCTTTGACAACCTGAAAGAGAGCTAAAGGAAAAATGTGTCAATTAAATATTTTATTCACAGAATTCGATACGTTAGAAAACGTATATCCGCAAGATCTACTAATTAAACTAAAATTTTTAATGAATATAAGCAGGCATCCCATAAAAACATCATTGGAATTTTAAGCCATATTAACACTAATAGGCTAAATCCATTGTATTAAGGATTACTTAACCATTCCAATTACCGTGGCATCAACAGAAAGCAGCTTCTCGCTCAAATTAATTAAAACTTACCTACGATTCTGTATGGCACAGGACTGACTTGTTAATCTCTCCTTAACTTCAATAGAAAATGATATCCACTAATCGTTAGTTTATACTGACATAATATCCTCTTTGGCATATAAAAAGGCAAGGAGGATAAATAAAATTACAATATTTTAGTTTATGATTATATATGAGCGTTACTCATTTTTGATTATAATTTAATAAAATATATAAGCTTTTAGTTGTCATTGCGAAAAATCTTCAAAATATAAAGAGCAGCCAAGTTATTTTTTGCCCTGAGCCACCAAAAGTCTCAGCACGGCGATGAGTGTATATTTTATTTTATATTACTTTTAGAGGAGTTAAACTAGTTTTTGTGATTCTTTATCCTTTTAGTTCATTTTTATTTTGGAATACACTATGAAAACGAAAATTTTGTCTAAAAAACATTTTATTTTTAAATTAAATATGTTTATTATCTATTAAATCATTCACATTTAATTAAAATTTGTTAACACAAAAATACTTTTATATTTAATAAAATAATAAAACTAAATTAAAGAAAAGAAAAGCGAAATATTTTTAAATAACAAAAAAAATAACTAAAATACCTGTCATGTACCAGTTTTTTATTTGTGAACCGTGGTCCGGTCCGTTCGTATCAGTTCTGCCCGGATGAAAGACCGGACCATGACCTTCACCAATGCTAATCTTTAATTCATACATAATCAGAGGAAATATATTTTAATACCTACGACTTACGATAAATTAATTTGTATTAAGATCCGATCGATACTTTTAAATGGCATATTCGAATATTGAAGGCAATCGGTATTTTATTTTTAGTATACAATTTTATTCCGATAGAGACTAGATTTATTCCGTTTTGTTTAAAGGTTTTCCTCATATAATTATTTTAAAAATCTCGAGTGTAATGTCGACAATATCTCGGAACACATACCATGAGACTGTAAAAATTACTTAATAGAATTAACATTTCAGAGGAATTATAGAATATTTAAAAAAAGAATAACTAAACGAACTTAAAATCATTAAATTTAATATTTATCATAAGCAGAGCTGTAAAGTAAAGTAACGGAACTAATAAAGGAGTTCTTTGGGGTGGGGGAGTGAAAAATTCTCCGTTACTTTGTGAAAATAGAGTAATAGTAAAGCATTTTTTAAAAAAAAGATTGAATTGTAAGTAACGAGAGAGTAATGCGCTACCTTTTTTAATGTAAAGTTTAAGGCTTGGGTTATAATAAACATATTTTAGTCATTTTAAAAAAAGGAGATCTACCAATTTTGTGTCTAAGCTTAATGATTTCGTCTTCCTTTTTATCGAAAGAAAACACTGTATCGTTTTGCTCTACTGGATAATAAATGCTAGTGGAAGCGATTGAGATACTATTTTCGTTGTTGAAACCAAACTTATCATCTACACGATCCGGAGGCTTCTTCTGATGTACCTTGTTAGTAAAGGCTTCTCGAGCCATAAGGCTCTCCTCTAGTAAAATGAATTTCCCAGGGGCAGTAACATTGTTCTCTTCGTTACCATCAATATCGAGACCAATTCTTAACGATTGATTAATTGGCGCGTTAACGCGATCCTCGTCTTTATAAGAAAAGTCCATATCTAGGCCTGGTGCTCCGTAATCCACTTCTTGGAAGCATAGCTAATGTTTAAATTTGAAAGATTAAAAAAATCACAATTTGAATTTCATTGGTAATATGCAAAAAAAACTAGCCATCTTTATCTCTCGCGGAAGGACACGGCGTAAAATGTGAGACCGGATTGTTTCAAAATAAGAATAATAAAAATATTAATTTTAAGAATAGATATTGACTAGGAAGGAACATCCCCCCCCTCCACCTGAAATTTCAATGTGTAGGTCTATTCAAAAACAAATTGAACATTCAATATGTTTTAAATAATTCGAATTAAATCGAATGAATTAAATTATTCGTTTTGTTTGAATGCGAATAAAGAATTATTTGATTGAAATAAAAATAAAATTTAAATAATCGGTTTTAATAAAATCCAATATTTCAAATATTCAACTAATAATTCGTTTTATTCGAACTGAATTATTACTAGTAATTTGAATTCTCGACTATTATTATTCGGAATAGTTATTCTGCCAGGTACAAAGACTTTATTTTAGTTGGAACTATAGTTGTAATTACTATATTTTTAGCCGTTTAAGCTAATTTTTAGTCAGCTAAAAAATTGGTCTTAAAAATATAGCAGCTCCTATTTGAAAAAAACTAATATAAATTAAAAAGCCTGAATGTTAACGAATCCGGCAAGTGCATGTAGATTGAGCCGAATTAGCCGACATTTTGTCATTATCCAACTATAGTTGGAACTAATTAGCTGTCAAAAAATAGGATGTATTATAAAGAAGAAACAATAAAAAACGGATTTAAACGAATAAGTAGAATTAAAGGTAAAGAGATATGGTTAGGATTAATTAAAGGTTTAAAGGATACATGTTAAGCTTAATTTATAGAAAACGTGTTATGTTGAAGCGCTGCGTTTAACACTATCGAAATCAAAGCTCATTCTTCATAACGATAATATTTAATAAAATATATCTTCTGCTTTATAACATAACAAATATTTAATAAAAAATAATCTGCTTTTTTAAAAAAATTGTTAATAAAAACTATATTGTAATTTACCTATTATTTTTATAATCGTATAGCAACATTTTTTAAAAAAATATTTATCATAGTTTATCATTATAACGCCCCATATTTATAAATTATATCTATTTTTTAGCTTGATTTTGTAAATAACGCACCACTTGCACATAACGCGTTTATTATAAATTCGCCCTTAAAGTTAAATGGTATTGATATATTTTCGTATGAATTATTTATTTTATTATTCTTAAGAAAATGAATAGTAAATCATTCAATTTGTTTAAACAAATCGAATGCAAATAGTGATCCACCAGATTCGTATTTGAATAAACCTACTCTTGTGCGAAAGGGCTCTAGTTTATCCTGATTTAATTGATCAGAACTGAAGCGAGAAGATTGGTCTCCAACCAGTTTGATCCAGTTTCAGACTATTACTGAGAGGACAAAATTGATGACGTTCCTTTTATAACACTGGAAAAATAGATCAAAATAATGGTGATTTAAAATTTACCGATTTTTCATGGTATTTATTTTTGAGGACATCTATACTATCTCGCTTTATTATCAATGCGTCAAAGTCAATATCCATATTGATTGGGACATCGGTATTCAAGTTCAAACACATATTTAAATTTTTATATGTGTTTTCGATGTTACTATTGTTGTCACAAATAATATTATTATTAATAAGCAAGGAGGAAGAGTCATCCTTATTTATATCATTAATACTATCAGAATCTGGGTTTTCTTTGGGTATCAAATCTGTGCAATGATTTTCAAGCAAAGAAGAATAAAAGCTCAGGTCCCTTATCTTAAAAACATCATTATTAATAGGTTCAATTATTTCTGCAATGATAGGTGGCCTAAATTTTTTTGTAATATTTAATGATTTAATATCACAATTTGCATTTGACATTAAGTTATGTTCATTTTGAACAATATTTGGTTTGTTATCTCTGTAGTCTTCTTTAATTCCATAAATATGACTGTTATTATCATAATCTATTATAGACTTATCTGCATTTATGAATACATCTTCATCTACTTCTTCCCCAAAAGAAATATTATCATCTATTATATCCACAAGATTGACAATATTAGTTTTATTAGTCTGATTATTAAAAACTTGATCATTATTAATTATATGATTTTTATGAGTATTGTTAATGTAAAAGGGCCTATATCCGGCCACTATTAATGAAGCAGAAGAGAATTTTTGATTTGATTTTTGAAGATTATAAATTTTAGAAGGATAAAATATTGTAATATTCAACAATGGCATTTTAGGAAGAGCTAATTTATCAAAAGGAATATGTTGTAAAGAATGCAATAATAACTTAAATCTATTTTCATCCCTTATTATAGCATTTGGGTGATAAAGTTTATCAATTATAAACTTGATATTAGTTTTATCAGAATCTTCTTGTAAGAAATTGCAAATTATATTTATGAAACTGATTAAAATCTCTGGATAATTTAAACAATATCTTATCCACATTTTACTTAATGTATGAAAACTAAGAATAGCTCCAAAATCAAGTGATTCTTTTTCAAAATCAAAGTCAATATTGAGATCATTTATTAATTCTAACATCCTTATATCATCAATTTTGATTGAAAAATCAAATAGTTCCTTTTTACATTCCACAAAGAATTTCTTAAATGAGATATCATTATTCTGATTACTTTGTTTGTTTAATAAAGAAAAATAACCTTTTATCAATGGCCAAAATGATATATCTTCAATAGCAAATACTTCGAATTTATGTATTGGCACATTTTTTTTATTATCTACACAAAAGTAGCCTTGATTTTGTATATTTTTATTGTTAACTAATTTATTATTAAGGCATAGTTGGTGTAAAAACACAGCTTCCAAGCCAATACATAACTTTCAAATAAATTTAAAAATAAGTAAATACATTAATAATTACTGAATTTATAAGATCATATAATGGCAAGATATCTTTAATATGGTTAGTGGTTATTATTTTATTATCTGCGATATTATTGGATAATAATTTAATTATTTTGGATATATAAAATAATATTGATTCTTTGCCTTCATCATTACCCATATGCTTCTCGGTCATATAATAATCCGCTGTAGTCATTTCGTCCAAATTTATCACCTACCTGAGTGAATGTATGTATTAAATAACGCTATATAACATAACATATGATTTTGTTTATTACAGTCTCAATTAAATATTATTATTATTTTATTTTTTTTTAATTTATTTTTTTTAAAGATTAACACTATTTATTTAAAAATCAATTTTAAAATAATACATTGAACGTTAAAAGTAAAACATTTATTATTGTTAAAAAGTAATTTGGGACAAATTTTAAAAATGGCCATGTTATGATTTTAATTAAAATAGTATTATATTATCTATGCCAAAATCTCTAAGGCTACAAATATTTTTTGGATAAAACCTTAATCGGGCCTGTATTAAATAGAGTACAAATATTATTGGATTTTATTAGAAAATGATTATTAAAATAATTGATAAATGTCCATACATTACATTTCCCCTTTATTAATTTTTAAAATATTTAATTATTATTATCGGATATGTTAAAAATTTGTATTAAATAATAATTTTCCAGTTCCATCAAATTCGATTTTTTAAAACTATATCTATATCACAAATATACTATTTAATATTACCTTTCTTTCTGATAGGATAGGATTAAGTATAATTCAAACTATAATTTTTTTAAATACATCTGTGGATCATCTCATTTTAAAGTTTTATTATTATTACAAAATTCAAATATAGATTTAATATAAAACATTTTATCTTAACTTATTTAATTCTTACTTTTATTATTCATATTATATTATATCGAATGACCTTACGTGATTTATATTTCTACTTTTATATTTCATACTATTTTGTATTATAATAACATTCAAAATTAACTTATTATTTTCCTTATACAAACCTATACTTTTTATAAAGAAGCATCACAATGTATATATTTTTATTTAATAAAACCTTTTGTTTAATTTTAGCTCTTGTGTCTCCATCATGGTGGCAGTGGAAAAAAAGTTGGTATTTTCTGATTAATATATCAATAATACTTAAAATAATAAATTATAATAATATATACATATTCTAGTTTATATTTTAATGTTTTTTATTTATAATATTATTTGAGGTTATAAATCATCTATTTAAAGTATCGATCATTGTAAAAGTTAATTTGTTTTTTTGTTAGAATAATATTCACAGGTTTTTTATAAATAATTAACTATTACCTAAAATTATATATATATTGATAAATTGTGATAAAGATTATTATTTTATTATTACATAAATAAATATCTTTTATTTTTGTTTAACTTGATCTTTTAAATCACATGATAAAGGAAAGGCGCACCAGCTTATTGGTAGCTAGTTTGGAAGGAGTAATATAAATATTCTACTCTATATTTTATTGGTTTTTTATTTATAATATTATATTATCGGTTTGTATATTGTTTTCCGGCTATAAATCATATATTTAAAGCAGAGTTGTACATTTGCTCAAAATAAAAAGATCTTCAAAGATCTAAATGTAAAATTTGAAGATCTTTTATTTTTAAAAAATTTTGTGTAACGATCTTCAAAGATCTTCATGATATTTATTTTTTTACCCCTTTATTAAAAGCCCAGATGTTTTTCAATTTTATTAATATAATATTTCTTTTATGTTTTATAACTCTCCTCCTGCCTTGATGAAAATTGAAAAACATCTGGGCTTTTAATAAAGGAGTAAAAAAATAAATATCATGAAGATCTTTGAAGATCGTTACACAAAATTTTTAAAAAATAAAAGATCTTCAAATTTTACGATCTTCAAAGATCTTGCTCAAATTTTTGAGCTAGATCTCGCTCAAAAATCTTCAAAGAAGATCTTTTGTACAACTCTGATTTAAAGTATCGATATATGAAAAAATTAATTTATTTTCCTGTTTTCAAATGTTTTTTTTATATACAATTACTTTTTACCGAAAGATGTATATATACTAATAAATTGTGATAAAGATTATTTTTTTTTATTAATTAAATAAATATCTTTAATTCTTTTCTAACTCGATCTTTAAAATATTTGAATAAAATACATTAAAAGTTTACCAATAAAATGAAAAGGTATTAAACTCATAAATTCTATAATAAAATAAAAAATGCGGACTAGGTAGAATATAAAAATATTAAAAAAAATATATAATAGTATGAAAAATATTTTAATTCTTGAACCGAGTGGCGGCTAACTTTGGATAAATCTTATTTGGTTATGTCATGAAATTGTTGTAGATAAACATTACATTTAATTTTATATAATATAGTATGACTCAAATAACATTTGCACATCAAATATCAATATTAAAGTCAATCATTATTGTTGAATATGTTGATCGATATTATTTTATATCAACGTTTTATTTATTTTGGCAATTGATTTTTTTTTATGATATCAATTTGTTTTTAAATTTAATCGGTGAAAATTTTATATTAACATTTTTTTATATCATTTTAACGTTACATTTCTTTTTATATCTTTTTTAACAATAAAAAAATAACCAATTATGTGAAATACAAATTGATATTAAAAAAATGTAACGTTAAAATGATATAAAAAAATGTTAATATAAAATTTTTACCAATTAAATTTAAATACAAATTGATTAAAAAAAAATCAATTGCCAAAATAAATAAAAGGTATAAAATAATATCGATCAACATATTCAACATTCCACTTTCCAAAGAAATTCGGCTTATGATTTCCTTGGATATATTGAGTGGTAACGCCATTAACGTTCATGATCGCCAAGCAATACGCCATCCATGTTCATGGTGCAGTCTTCTTTTCAAACCGAACGATGGCTTGGTAAAGTTAAGGCAGCCCTTAGCTGATTTTGCGATCAGATCATATATGCATGGCATCGGGCATCTAGATTCCCCTCGAGCAAGGTTTATGTTGTCCTTCAACCACCCATCCAATTCACGAGTCATCGCATCAATCCTGACATATGGAACTCTCCTCGGATGTATGATCTTGGGCACCGTATCGAGCTTCAAGTAAACTTTCTCTTGTCTGACCATGTTGAGTTTGTAGGAGTAAGTTGATTCGTGATCTTTTTTTGTTGTCAAGATTACCTTCTCGAGATCATTCTCTACGTTACCCACTGAGAACGTTTTTAATATGTTGTTGAAGGCGTGGAGCCACATCCGTCCTAGCAGGGGAACCTTACCACAATCCACTACAATGGCCTCCATATCTTGATGGCGCTGCCGTCATAACCAGTGAGTTTCTATCAGTCTTACGTATCGTGGTTATGCCTACAGTCTTAGCTGTATGTTTCGGAAGTATTGTGTACCTTGTACCGGTGTTAACTTACCTCAACGTGGGTATGTTGTTGATGCTCACCGTTACGTTGTACGCGTCATATCTGGTATCGTTAACCCCCAGATTGCATACTTCCAAATTCTGCAGATTATATTCTTTAAGATCTGTGTTTAGGTCGTCGTCATCATCGATTACTTCGATGTTCATAGCATGGTTCGTATTCAATTGACAATCACGATCTTTGTAATCAGAAGATCTGTTATAAGTATTATTGTCATTTTTGTACTGGTTGGGCCTTGACGAATATTTTGGAAAACCATTAATACTTTGAGGGTTGTGTCTGTACTGACCACGACGGGAATAGTTGGTTCGGTTATCACCTCTATAGCAGTCATCCCGTCGATCAGGGCTTTGATGATGGTCACAATGATAGTCGTGGCGATTGCCATGGACGTTGTACCCGCTATTGTTGTATCGATCATCGTAGTAGTTATCGTTGCGATTGTCGAAACGGTAGCGGTAATAGTGACAATTATCGTAGCTTTGATCAAAACGATTGTCGTCGTGCTGTCCGTCAAATCGTTTGTTGCGGCCGTTGTCGTGGCGTGTCCTGTAACGTTCATCAAATCGTTTATCGCGGCAATAGTCGGGGCGTAGTAACGTTCATCGAAATGTTGTCCGTGGCGATTGTCATTGATAAACTGGGGTTGCTTGATAAGAGATTTACCATGTGCATGAGAGTCCTGAATGGGTTTTATAGTTACGTGGCCATTTTTGACTCTGCCCATGTGATTAACCTCTTGTATTCCAGGTGATTCATTCAAATGAAACAATTTTATCACGCCCTTGGTGTCACTTGGCTCCGTGGTGTCTTACTCTAGACCTAGATTGTAAATAACTTATATAGTCATAGAGCTCCTGGCCGCTTTCCTGACATCTTCGGAATTCGAAGCAACTCTCACTTTCTCAATAATGAGCTGAATGCCATTTAATTTGCATTCTTTATTGAGTCGTGCTACGCGTGTGACCCAAGCCGAGAACGTCTCCTCCTTGACTTGAGTGGCAGCATAAAATAATGATAGTTTGGCGTTCTCAGTCTTCGATGGATGTTGTAGCTTGAATTTGCCAAGCAGATCGATTGGGTCCTGGAAGTCTGCCTCCGTGCAAATTGCTCCAATGTTATTGAATTCGTCACCTGGAAGACTTCGAAGAAACAAGGCGGCCTTTTCTCCGTTGGAGATCTTGTTGGTGTCGAAGAAATTCTGCAAT